ACAACACCTGACCAGAGAGCCAGGCCGGGCCTGCAGGACCACGTCCAAGACCAGAGCAGTCCTAGACCAAGAGGCCTTTGGCTGCTGGTCTCTAATTCCCTGGGCAAGCTACCTGCTCACTGCATAGCCGCACTCCCTGGGAGCAAACCAAGAGCCTGGGGAAGTCCTCTGGTTTCTCCTTCACCACATCCCAGGGTGGAGAGGAGCACCTGTGCCCCATCTCATGCTCCTCCGTGGGAAGCCCTTTCAGGTGTGAGAAGGACCATCCCTGCCTTGCCAGAGACCCTGATGGCTCCTCGTATACTTGTTTCTTTGCACAACATGAAACACACTCCTCGTGGCTGCTCATGAGCTGACAGAGGATGGGGTGAGACAACGGCCTTGCGCTGGGGTGTCGCAGGGCTGAATGCTGGGGAGATGCGCTGTGTAGATGCCGGGGCTCCCTGGGCAATGCCTTTCTCGCCCCAGGACACCACCTTCCAAACACGTTCTTGGACAGAGCACCCCTAAAAGGCTGTTTTCCCTCCCCGAGACCCCTGGGCTCTGACACAGGGAGCACAGCACGTTCAGGAGGCGAGAGCACAGGAGCTGCCGGAGGCCTCCTGCCACGTGGGTGTCTCCGCTGGCTCCGTTTGTGCCGGTCGGCAGGCCCCGGCATGCCCGGGGCGGCTCAGCTCAGCACGAGGGAGACGGTGCCCCAGCAGCCTGGCCAAGGCTTCGAAAGCTGCTGGGTGACTCCTCGGCCACCCCGAGCTCTGCAAGCCCAACCGCAGGTTCTGCCACCGGCAGCTGGCATCTGCGGGCGTCGATCCTCTAGTGCCAGAAAGGGGGATGATGGCATCACCTAACATCCCCTGCCTGCCACGGCACTTGGAGATCCCAGCACGGCGTGGGACTGCAGCCAGCAGCACCCAGAGCAAACCATGCGTTATCTCCCAGTGCATTTTCAACACCAGGGCGAGCTCTCCAGGAACAAGCCAATCGTTCCCCGTGGCTTGGGCAAGATGGATAAGGCCCCAGAGGAGCAGATGCACATTCTGTTTTGCTTTGACGGCTTAAATGTCATAATGCCATTGCAAACCTGACCATGACACACATTATCTTACAGTGCTTATTCATATCACCCCAAAAGCACTGGCAATAAAATTAAATATTGCATAAGGTTGTTATCTGGCTGCTGTGCTGCAGGAACCAAGCGCAGCCCCCTCCCACAAACCTCTTGCCATGAGATGTAGCATGGTGGTGAGGGTGGGAGGCCTGAGCAGCACGGGGGGCTGCCCCGTTCCCTGCCCACCCCTCAATGGGGTCTCCATGCTTCTCCCCAAAGCCCTGCTTCGCTCTCCAGCCCCATAGCGAGGAGCTTCTTTCCTCACCTGGATTTCTGGGGAGGGGATGTGGGAAACGATGGGAGCAGCCTGCATTTCTTGGAGGTGTTGATGGGAGCCAGGCTTCTGGGGAAGAACCAGTTCATCTTTGGCTGGGGCAGAGAGCTGTGCCCATTTTGTTTCTGTGCTCCTACCGCCTTGCTCGGCAGGTATTTTCTCTGCTGAGCCCCAAAAGCAGAGGCTGCTGCCTCAAGCCCCTCGCAGGCTCCTGGAAGAGCTGACGTATACATTGATCTCCCTGGGAAGGAGCACTGGGACCTTTGTTACAAAACCAGTTTTTCAGACATTTCTGGCTTGGGTGCAAACGCAACAAGTGGTCCCTGGGGTGAAGACGTGGCCCAGACCGACAGCAAATGCTCCCCATAGCTGGGCAGCGAGGGGGCAGCTCTCATGTTGAGGACCTTGGCACGATCACATCATTCTGCCAGCAAACACGAAGGACGTTCGGCAGAGCAAAACGCAAGTACAGCTGGATGTGCACGTGGTCCTTACACTGGGAGGCTAAAGAGCAGAGAGCGGAGAGCTGCGTTTGAGGGCCCTGTGTTTAGACGACCCCCAGCAATCGCTCTGGCCATGCTGAACCAGTAACAAAACCAGGCGGCTGCTGGGACAGCGTGTGTGCAGCACCCTGTGTGACAGCCCCGGGGCCTGTCTGGGACCTGGGGGCAGCAGGTTAAAGGGAATAATTGTTTGTCGTCACCACTGGAGGCTTAACAGCTGCCTCCCACCCATGGGAGGCCCATGGGTTTAGTTTGCCCTTGTCACTAGGTGGGTGAAACCGCTCTCAGCAAAGCTATACTGAGGGGATGGTGCAGCGAGGGACTCGGGCAGGTCTCAGGCATCTTGCAAGGACCATTCGGGTGCTTGCAGGGCTCTGAGCGTGTTGCTGGGCAGCACCCGAGGGCTGGGAAGGTGCTGCCTGTGATCCTGACGGAGCGGGTGCCAGGGCGGAGGAGCTGCTGAGGGCTGCACATGGCCCAGAGGAGAGGAACGGTCAGAGCTCACCTTCAGCACGGACACACACAGCTCCCAACGGCAGCCAGAGCTGCTCGCTCCAGCCTGCTGCAAGGTCCCTTGTCCCCTTCCTGGGCACTGCTGGCCTGGGGGGGTGAGAAGCCCCGACCCCCTGAGAGCCCCATGGCCCCACTAGGCTCGGGCTGCCCCGGCCCCTGCCCCAGCACACCGTGCTGCCATGAGCCCAGTTTTCCCGATGTGTTGGGTGGCAGTGGGGCAGCACTGCCTTCTGTTTTCCTTCCCTTTGTTGTCACTGTTGCAGGTTTCCTCTGCTCTGTCTCATTTTTGGGTGGAGACCCGGCTTCCCTCCGAGCTGCCGCCGGGGAGCATCCCCCACTCGCCCTGCGGTCCCGCACACAGGCCGGCTCGCCGCACTTCCCGCCCGGATTTCACAGTTTCACCTCTTTCCGATGAATAAAGACTTGGCATTATACGGCCTAGACGAGCAAGGGACATTAAGAATGAACTGGAACATAACTGCAAAATACAGCATGTCCAATCCAATTTCTCCCAGCAAATGAAACGGATCTGGTGGAAAATAAATACAGAACTTTCAGGAGCAGCGTCCTTGAACAGCATCTGAGGGGGGACGAAGAGATTTGAATAGATCAGCCCTTTACACCTCTGCACATTCCTCCTCCCTCCCTTAAATGCCATCTTTAATAGAAATTAATTAGAATAAATGATCAGCCCTTGCCTCCT